ACTTGGTTGGGGTCCGCGTGACTTTCGTAACCAATGGTTGGAGACTCTTGGTGACATGGCTCAGAATCGATCACAATGGCGTAGGTGTATACACTCCCTGTCTTCCCTTAAACTAAGAGACTAAAATAACTTCATTCTTTCTGTCTACGAACTAATTCTTTCTTCCTATACTATATCCTTATTGCAACCTTTGACCTAACCACTCCTATGAATCCGCTGTTCATCTTGCTGTGCTAATGAGGTATGGCAACCTGGACCGATGCACATATGTGCCTGGTCCTACGTTGTAGCTGACTGACGACTGACACCAAAGTCGAATATTCTATCCAAAAAATATCTAATAGCCCTAAGAAACATCAAGCAAAATAATTAGCTGATGATTTTACAACCGGATAAGGGTTCAGGTGTCGTTCTAATGAATACAGCTGATTATGTTACTAAGATGAAGTCAATCCTAGACGATCAACTGAGGTCCAAGGTAGATAAGTCCAAAAAAGATTTGACAGAAAAACGAATCACAGGCATGCTTAGAGAACTCCTAAAAAAAGAAAATGATCGATAATTCTACTCACAACGATCTAAGACCACGTGGTTCACTTCTACCTCATATGTGCCCCCAAATGCTCTCACACGGCTACGCGTATATAGCCTCTGCCAGGGAAGTCCTACTCACTGCCTTCTCGTGACAGGGGTGTTTACGAAAATGAGAGGACGAAAAGCGAATGTCTGGTGCTTTAACTGGATTCCAAACCAATGGTGCACATGGGCTCCAGTATCCTGCGGGAACAAATGGCTTATGAACCAATCGTTGGTCACTGGCTACCATGGGACTGCATCTCCTTACGATGCTCTACTGCCTTGTGGGTCGAACCTTTAGGTCAAAGGCTCGGGGAGTGGCCCCCTAAGATAACCACCTGCTTCGGTCTGAGCACCCGGGCAGTATCACAGCCCACACACAAATACGATGAACTGCCTATAATTATGGAAACTACTTTACTTGCTTCAACTAACAATCAAATGATTCAAATTATTATTATTATTATTATTATTATTATTATTATTATTATTATTATTATTATTATTTATCACATTATTCACCCTCTTTTATACTTATACAGCAGCTCGCCTATGGTGGAAACTCTGTTCTATCTAAACGTTCTCGAGTTACTGCCTGGTTGAAAATTGTATGCTACCACCAAATACGAATACTGAAGCAGTTTTTTTAAACGACGTGCACCATTCAAACTGGCTGCCTTCAACGTTTGCACACTTATGCAGGTCGGACAACAGATAGGGCTGGCTATGTCTTTAGAAAGTCGTAATATCAACGTTTGTTGTCTATCCGAAAACCCGTATTCAAGACTCTGGTGAAGAACTACAAATTCGCTCTCCATCTGTCGCTTCAAAAAGCTTGTTTTGCGTGCGTTTGTCCGGGGAGTTAGAGGGTGTACCAACGTCATGGAATGAGTCGATAGTTGTCTCTATTTTTAAAAAGGGTTCACGTCGTTCCTGTAACAACTATCGAGGGATAAGTCTACTTCCGATTGCGTCCAAGCTATTGGCTTCCGTCATACTTCGTAGGTTGTTCAAAACCCGAGAAAGATTGACTCGCGAGGAGCAGGCTGGGTTTCGTTCTGGTCTAGGATGTATTGATCATTACTTCACTCTCCACCAAATGTTAGAACACCGTCATACTTATCAAAGGCCAACAATCGTAGTGTTTCTTGACATCAGGGCTGCCTTCGATTCGTTGGATAGGAATGTTCTCTGGGATTGTCTATTGAAGAAGGATGTGCCTGAGAACTTTATTGACATCCTGAAGGCCCTATATACAAACACCTGAGGCAGAGTGAGGGCATACAACCACCTCTCTCCATTGTTCCATTCGGACAGTGGGGTTAGGCACGGTTGCCCAATCTCACCATTCCTCTTCAACTTTGCCATCGATGACATTCTGGAAACAGCTCTGATGGATGTAAGTAATGGCGGTGTGGATCTGTTGCCTGGAGAAAGACTTCTCGACCTTGAGTATGCGGATGATATTGTCTTACTCTGCGATAATGCCCAAGGCATGCAATCCGCACTTAGTCAGTTGGCAATCGAAGTGCGTAAGCATGGTATGTGCTTTGCACCTTCGAAGTGCAAAGTACTTCTACAAGACTGTCAGGATCCTAATCCTATACTCACCGTGGACGGTGAAGAGATATAAATAGTCGAGAAGTTCGTATGTATAGGTAGCTGCTTAAGTGCTGACGGTGACGTGAGTGTTGAGATCAGTGCACGTATAGTGAAAGCCAGAGCGTCTTATGCGAATCTGGGCCATCTTTGGCGCCTTCGTGATGTTAGTTTGGCTGTAAAAGGTCGGATCTACAACTCGTCAGTGAGAGCAGTTTTGCTCTATGCTTGTGAAACCTGGCCTCTTTGAGTGGAGGATGTTAGACAACTCTCTGTGTTCGATCATCACTGTCTCCGAAGGATTGCTGACATCCAGTGGCAACACCATGTCAGTAATGCAGAGGTTCGGCATCGTGTGTTCGGGCACAGAGACGATAATTCAATTGGTGTCACCATCTTGAAACACCGACTTCGGTGGCTTGGACATGTTCTACGAATGTCGTCCCAGAGAATTCCACGTCGTGCATTATTTGCCGTCTCTGGGACAGGTTGGAAGAAGAGGATAGGTGGCTAGTGTATGGCATGGTGTCGTGGCATGAAAGGAAGCTGCAAAGGACTGGCTTGTGTTGGTCCTTCACGACTCCCTGGTTGGGGTCCGAGAGATGGTGCTACACAGTGGCTAGAGACGTTATCAGATATGGCTCAGAACAGAAGGTAGTGGCGATCCTGCTGTAACCTCCTTTTACTTTCTTCATAAAAAGTGGTTGTATCTTCCTTAAATGAAAGATTTCTTCTGATTGTACCCTTCTGTTCCCCTACTATTACTATTATTATTACACTACCTTACACCAGTCTCTTCGTCATTGTTCTCTTTTTCTTTTACGCTCCTTACTTTTTTTTTCTTTCTCTTCAAATTCTTATTGTTTTGTGTGGTGCATATATATTGGTGCTCTCTTGTACCAATATTTATGTGTTCAAATAAATAATAACCTCATATGTATGGTTTACCAAAAGTTCACAAACATGACGTTCCCCTTAGACCTATCCTACAATGATCAACTCACCGTATCATAAAGTTGCACGCTGGTTAGCAGTAAAACTAGAACCGGTTCGTCGTAAATTAGCAACATATACGTTAAGAGATTCATTCCAGTTTGCTGATAGACTAAATCATACGAATGTTACCGACAAGTTCATGGTCTCTTTCGATGTAACATCCTTTTTCACCAATATACCACTTTTTGAAACCATTGATATTTGTCAGAATGATGATCTCCTACCTTTACCAGCCCCATAATTTAAAAAACTACTACTAATGTGCACAACAGATGTTCAATTCCAGTTCAATAACATCATATGTCGCCAAATCGATGGCGTAGCAATGGGAAGCCCACTAGGTCCAATTATGGCAGATATTTTTATGGAGTATCTTGAAAACACGGCACTTAAACAGGCAATTAGTGAAACAACGGAATACTCCAGATATGTGGACGGCATATTATCTGTAACAATAAACAACATGCGATCCGCCTGCTAAAACTTTTCAATAACGCTCGCACTAACATACACTTCACTATGGAGCACGAACAGAACGACATGTTCCACTTTCTTGATATTGCCATAAAACGCAGGGGAGACGGGACAGTCCAACGTTCAGTCTATAGAAAAAGTAATTGGAATGGCCTCTACCTGAATTTCAATAGTTTTTGTCCAATTAGTTACAAGAAGGCATTGGTTAAAACACTATTTTACAGGGTAGATATGTACCACCGACAAACTGGAAGAATTAATGAACGTAGAAAAATGTCTCAAAGACAACTTTTATCCACAAAAGTTTATTAACAAATATAAAAAGCCCAAAGAAAACAAGACGAAAATAACTACGGTCAATAAAAAGCCAGTATATATAAATCTTAACTTTAAAGGTGATAACGTCGCACAAATAATCAGCAGGAGACTGAACACTGCTCTAGCCAGAACTTATCCGGCTGATAAACTTTTAACTCTCTATAAAACATGTTCAATAACCCAACCAAAGGTCGACAAGCACCCCTTTCATGTCACCGCCAACTGTATTTATAAATTTACGCATACCTGCCAAAGCAGCTACATCGGCTGAACTGAGAGGAGAGCATATCTTAGATTTTTTGAACATGTCCCAAAAAGTCTTAGAACAAGGGAAAGAAAGAATCTGTATAGTGCAATCAACAAACATCTCCTTGATACAGGACATCAGGTAGATACCATACAATCCTTCAGGGTGATTAGTAAGCAGCCAAACTCCAGTCTTCTGAAGCCGTTGCCATCAGATGTCAAAAACCTGACCTATGTATTCAAAAGGAGACGGTTAATCCTTCCTTGACTTGGTGATAAATATTCTTTCGCTGCACCTTAAAAAAATTTTTCCTTTTTTTTCTCTTGTATTTATTACATCATTTATTTTATTTTATCAACTATCTTTCAACTGAACTCTACTCACTATATTACTATCAATGTTTATTCATTATGTAATCAATTGTTTCCAACCCACTTTTGAACTGTTGTCACAATGTTGTAGAATATTCTTCCACATTAGGTATATATTTACAATATTCAGTAAGCAATTTAAACCCATTATGTAATTATGATTTTGAAATATCACAGCTGACGAGAACCTACGAAATAAAATGAATTCATGCTATTCTGCTAGAATCTTTGTTCTTGCTCTTTTCAAAATAATGAAATTGCAAGTTGTATTTATGCAGTAAGTTAGTGATTAAATAATATCCAGTACTACCCAGTTCAATTTATTAAGATCTAATTATTGATCAATGTATATAGGAAACATGTGAAGAATAGTGTATTCAGGCATAGTTTTTGATCTATTTTTGATGTGTAATAAATTTATCGTCTATCAACATTTGGTTTGTACTTTGCATTGGACCACAGATCTGCTTCTTTTTTAGTTTTACAGCACTATATTCAATACCGAAAAAGGAGACAACGATTGTCATCTATAATGATTATTTTCCTGATCAAACTTTATTACAAAACTTAATGAAAATGCATGTATACAATAATCAGGGGAAAAAGAAGGGAAGATACTAATAATAATAATCAGTAGTATACAATACCATAAACTGAAACAAAATAGATGATTAATAACACAACTAAGAGATAAATGATGATAATCTTGGGGGTAAGAGAGACAAAAGGGACGAAGGAAGTGGTGATGATAGAGATAAAAATTTACAACACAACATCTACACGCCTCAGTATGTTTACCTTTTTTGCCGGTGTATTAATGCATATTGTGTACATTTTAAAAAAGTACTCTTCAATGTATATATGACGTTTAGCAGTGGAATCAAGTGATAAAAAGAAGCAATGAAAGGCGAGGGAGTAGATAAACAAACAAGTACAAAAGAAATGAAATACTCGCCCATCGAGAATCAATCGTCACAACTGACTATCACAATTTGACACAATACAGTATACAAATAATAATAGTAATAATAATAAATTAAATAAGAAGTAAACTTAAATGGAAGAAAAGTCCTGAATAACTCTGTCTATCGCTTATATTCTTCTTTAAACTATAAGTTCTGTTATTTTGTTTTTAATAGGAAGTAACACGATTATAAGGAGTAAAAACAAATTAAATGAAATTATACACATTTATTTTTCATTCTAATAATGATTTTTCTGTACAAATGGAGAAAAGTGGAAGAATATAATATTTTAATCAGTAGAAGAATAAAGGCAATACACTACTATACCTTGGTGTCTTTAGTTAAATCCCAAGATTGTAGCAGAAAGACAACGAATTCATAAGTTCCAATCATAATACAAGAATTAGGTACTTGACGAATATAATGAGTTGCCATACCACGATAAAGTCCACTTATACCTTCCTCTTTGCCAACTAAATGAAGTGTACGAAAAAATCCTCGATATTGTCCAGTTTCTTCACGTAAACGAGTTCGAGCTACTTCTATTTAGTAATAAAGATGGAAAATTATATAGACAAAATTTTTTACGATTTCCAGATTTGTAGGATAGTATACTATCAAAATAAAACAAACTGTTTGTTTTTCTGTATCAAACTCATTAACAGTAATCTTACATATAAACCTAATTTTAGCTTCATATGAAAATAAAATGGATTAATTATTCTTCATATTCAAAGTACACTGGAGCAAAATGCTTCAAAACTATGTGACAAAAACGACAGAAAACTCACTAAATTTTATTTAATGTACATTTTTTCTCAATTATATTCTATATTGATTGTTTCCACGATGTTGTTACATAACATAAATTTCTTTTATATTTCAATAGACGATCGTCTTAATTTTTCCAAACCCATCACATGACTAAAATTGGCCTTGTGAAATAGGTCTAGGTCAACTATTCACAATGTCTCGAAATTTACAAACATGGACTAGATTGTGGAAGTTTCTATATTTGCCACTGTTAAACTATTGATTGAGCCAATCATGGTTGTTACAACAATATTTGGTGACCTAGAGAGTTAATACACACCCAGGTTAATCATGTGATACGAACAGAAAATAGACTGAATGACTTTGTAAATTTAAGTCTAAGACAATTTCATCTACTTGTCTATCATCATCCGGGTAGTGATCTTCCGTTCTTATATTCTAAGTAATGCCTGGAAATCAAGTGTACACACACATTGATTTACTTTTATCGATCTTTAGTGGTCTGCTGTAAAACAATATGTATTGATATTTTTCCTAAGGTCATTTCTGTATTACTGATAATCAAGGCAGCAGAAAAAAAGACATAAAATGAATTTCGAAGTAAAACATTCTTGGATTTAAGTTATTTGACAAAAGAGATTTAATGTTTGTTTAAATTATTGATTTAAATCTAAGTTCTTGTTTAGGTTAACAAACGATTACAGTCATTTATAATTACCTGGACATAAAAAAGCCATAACACAATTTGATAGAATATGAAATTAGGAACTAATATAATCTAGTCAACAAATGTACGTTAATGTACTCTAGGGCTTTTTATTTATGCTAATAATAATCAATGCAAGTTAAATGCACTGGTTCACTCAGTTACTTCAATCGAATTTATTTATCTGAGTTTGAACCCATATCTATTATTAATTGTGGTGGTGAAGCGATGAGTTAGTGGTTAGGGCACTCGAGTAACCTTCAGTCACTAAGTTCCAGATTTGAACCCCACTTCGGAATCTGTTCAACGTTAAAAACTTTGGGTTGACATCTGAATTCTTATTGGGTCGCGATCCTCTAACCTCCTATCCGTCCTACCCTTGAGTCCAGAAATCAGTAACCAGCCTCCACTAATAATGTATTTTAGACAAACGTAGTTGATATAGAAGCAGACCAGACCACATCACACCGTAGAATATAAAATAACAATTATACATGGTCAAGCCAAAAAGTGGTTGAAAGTACGGGAGACTATGAATAATAAACTGCCAGAAGATTAAGAATAATTAATAATACAACAGTAGTTAATAGGTTAATCGGAAGCCGATATATATATAGAGAGAGAAAAATTCTAGAGTCCTCTCTATCTATGCACCAAAGCTGATTGACTAAAAACGGACCAATCAGAGTGGTCCCATAGATTTTTTCATGGAATATGCTTTAATTTAATCTATGTCCTGTCAACATTAGCACTCAAATTTAAGTGTGGCTCGTAACAAAGTACCTGGTGAGTAAGTTAATTAATTAATCAATGGAATGTTAAGTACCTAAATAAAAATTACTAATATTCATGCTACTACAATGACCGATTACGTACTTACCGTGAGGATATAGAGCAGTAATAGCGATTGCTTTAGAACAAGCACTAGCAATCATACACAGAATCATATCTTTTGAAGCAGATAATTTACTTCCGCCACTTGAACCACGAAAATCCGATGCTTTTTGAGGCAGATAATCATTATTACTACTGTAAACAGATTGTTCCGATATTGGAACAGAACTATTAAGAGTTAATTGACGTTTACGTTTATGCTCTCTCCAAAGCAGTTCTGATTTAAAATTTTCATATACAACGAAGTTTAAAGCTGTTTCTAGAGAACCAAAATACGATGCACTTACACCTCGGTAGAAGCCACGTAATCCATCTTGCTTCCAAGTGTTACGTATAACTTGTGAAACAGTAATAGGTGTATGACCTGGCCTATAAATCATAAGAAACATGGTGTATTAGAAGCGTTACTTTTTTTCTACTGTCCATAACTTTTATAAATGTAGATTACAAAAAATTAAAATCAACGTATATAGCTGCACATAAATTCATAATAAAATAAATAAGTAATTAATTATCAATCCTGACTAGTATTGGGGACGGATGGAAGAAAGTTAGGAGCGACCAAACCAAAACGTGGCATCAGTCCACAAAGTCACTGACTTCTGGTCTGAGCCATGTTGGTAGATACAAACTACTTGGTTGGGGTCCGCGCCACTATCGTAACCAATGGTTGGAAACTCTTGGTGACATGGTTCAGAATCGATCACAATGGTGTAGGTATGTACACCCTCTGTCTTCCCTTAAACTATTAGAATAAAATCGCATTATACCTTCCTTCCTACGAACTATTTCTTCCTGTATTGTATTCTTACATGCAATCTTTCTTTTACTATCACTGAAGTAACTACTTCTATGAACTTGGTGTTCATCTTGTTGTACTAATGAGATACGACAACTCAGACCGATACATATATGTGCCTGTTCTTACGTTGTAGATGACTGACTGACTAATTCTAAATGTAAAATTTAATGCTCAACCTGACAATTATTAGTACAGATTCACGTTAGCTGCTTTCAGACACGCTAGTACGAAAAGCCAGTGGTACTATTCAACTGTCCAAACTGAAATAAGTAAAGAATAGTTTGGATTTGGAATCCAGTATTTATTTTAGTACTTTTGATACATTGTTTAAAACTGACAAATGTAACATGGAATGTAAAATGAAACAAAATCCAAAAATTAATTAGAATTAAAGTGATATTAACGGAAAGCTGGGAAGTTTGAAGATTTCTTAGCAGTCGATTTAATTATCTAAGATATTAAAACTGGACCACTAACATTTTATCCACTGATATACATCGTAAAGTTAGAATAACACGAGAAACTGTATTATTTTGACTATGGAATTAGTAATCCAAGGTGTTATGAACCGCGAAGTTAAATCCAAAAGTATGTTGGAAAACTTTGAGTAAACGACTTTGACGTTTAGGTAGGTAAACTAAGCGTTATTCTACTCCAGAGAACAAACAACAGCTAATACATGCTCTGATAAACATTCGCTTTCATCAAGTATTACCATTATATGTTACGAAACACACTATGTAGCCACCTTCGATATTAGCTTAAGACCATACATAAAGATATCGTATGGTCAATGGATAACACTAATAAATTTATTATAAAAATAGCAGTAACAACTGTTAATGAATCGGAGTGGAAAATTGAAGAGTCAATAAATTTCTTCAGCTTCTACAAAAATGTTGCTGGAGTGACTTAACCTGATAGGCTTCATGCACGATGAAAAACAGAAGTAACTTAAATATAAACTGACAAACAGTTGATAATTAAGCAATTTTGACCAAAGAAATAAAAAAGCAAACAAGACAGTGTTCAAAAAATGACACTAGACACATGTACCAACAAAATGAACGTGAAATGTTTCCAGTTAGCGAAATTATTGCTGGAAATGAAGTATCGATAGTCCAATTATCGGTCATGAAACTGGGATGATGGCTGAAACGTCTTAAAGAGCAATTCAACCGGTTTCGAAGCACATTTTAGTTGTCTGCTACCCGTCAATATCTATGAGCTAACGTTTTATCATGGCTAGCAAATAAGCAGGCTGGAAAAAGCGACTAAACTAAAACGCATTCAATCCACAAAATCACTGATTGCTGAATCAAAGTCGTTTGGGGACAAACAAACTTGTTACCAAAATCCCACAAGATAGTTGTAATTTATGGTTAATATATTACGCGATATAACTCAAAATTCATCGTAGTGACGCAAACAAATTTGGTTTTGCATCGTTATTTGGGTTCATTATCATACTATTCTTCCTATTGAACGATATTTTCTGTTTTCTTTTCCACTACCGTCGGGATAATTATTATTCTTGCTTTTTCTCGGTTGGTTCGTTCTGACTGCGCTGCCAAGAAGTGGGGCAACTCGAGCTAGCACACACTTCTATTAGGTCTTACGTTGGTTGCGTGTATTTATCGGTTTATGTCTAAAATATGGCAACAATTTGATTAGTAGAGCTTATTTCAGAATGGGACAGCGCATAAGCATCATAAACCCAAAAGTAAATCTAGAAATTGATAAAACTGAAGAAATTTGATTTAGGTTCACAATCCCACACTGGATATTAAACGAATGGACACTGGATATTATTGACTACTAGGTAACAGGACTAATGCATTGAATACAAGACTGGAAAATGGAGATCACGATATCCGATCACTTGATATGCTACCCAATTATCTAACTAATACTTAGGAAACAACTTATGGGTCAGAACATATTAACAAGAAGTATAAAGCAGTTAGCAGTGAAATCAGAGAAGAATGTTTTTAGATGTAAAATACGGTTAGATGTATCTATCTTTGATCATGAGTTAATCACATCCCACCTTCTCCGACAAACCAGAAATATAGTTTTAAATTAAGGACACCATGACTATTGAAATCAGATAAAATAGAATATGAAAAGGTTGCAAAAATAAAGATAATAAAGGCAAAATGAACAAGCATCGAAGGACCTCTACCAAAAACTCGAAGGCATTTTCAGTTGTTGATGTATATGTGACTGATGATATATCTAAGCGCATGTACTGCCGGTAAGATACCAAGAAGTGACTAAAAATCACAATTAGCAAAACGTTTGAACCTGCGGCTATGAGAATGAATTGGAAAGCAAAATCATTCAGTTACGATTCTACATGAAAACCTAATTCACTTAAGCTCTCAGTTTAAAAAAGTAAATCCAATCAAGAAAGAAACCTACTGCAGCTAAACGAACTGTACTTAAATACTTACATACGCCTGTTTAAATTTAATCCACTAGGCTTTTGATGACTTTCATTAATTGTTTTTAAATAAAGTGTGTCTATAGGGGCGATTAGTAAATAAGTTAGATAAAAAAACTGTATCGAACCTGTGGATTCAGCTATTTGACTCGAAAATAGTATTTGGTCGAAAATTGATATCGAGATGATAGATCACTGAAAACTAAAAAGTAATTGTTAATTCTACATTTGCACTGCTCAGTAGTATGAACCATGGATTTTACTATTAAGCATACTCATGAAGAGTTCTGAACTGGGACTAAATAACTGAGCTGATTTTCATCCACGACATAAATATTACTTTTAACGATTAATGGCACCATTAGAAGTGAATTCACTAAGCAAATGTAATGACTTTAAACAAAAAACCTGTAGTGTCGGTTGTTATTTTAAGCCCATATAGCTTATTCTAGCTTCTCGACAAGTCATTTTATTCATCCTTCTTGAGTTACATTTTGACCTTGTTAGTTATTCGCTTATCAATCTTGACTGTTTTTACGTAAGCACATGCGTGTGCCCTTCTTATCACATTCATCACATGTCTGTAACTTATATTTGTGTGACTATAAATCACGATTAAGGCTTGAGTAAATTTAGTTGTCTCATACGCCCTCTCTACTGCGCGTCATTTTGCTTCGCTCTCTTCACTTCGCTTTGTTTCTCCGATAGTTTATTTAGATCAATGATTGTATGAAATATACATAATCGAAATCTATTTTCGAATTTGACTTATTTAATTCAGTTGTTCACTAACGCCAGTTAAGTAGATGATAATATACAAGGATAGCCAGGATGTATATTTTGACAACAATCATTCATACGATCTACCTCGAGTCAGATATTCGAAGGTCACTATAAGTCCATATTAACATGCCTTAACGTAAAGTGTAAGTGGCAAAGATAATATGATTGGTTTAGAACAGATTGTAGAACAGTGAAAACTTTGAGCACCCTATCGTCTTTGAAATGAATAAATATAATGAATGACTGGTCCGTATTTACGATGAATAATGATTCCATGTACTCGTGTTTCTAAAAACAAGAAAATGAGTAGGGTGTTTGTTACTATAAAAAACAGATATACAATTTTAACTTGCCGTGAATCTAATTGAAGCCTTGTTTTTACAAACCAAATAGGATTGGTTAAGGAAGAAGCGGTTATGCCTGTAAAAGTAATGCCAGTAGAGAATGTATTAATTGGTCATCGAAACTAAAGAATATTAATGCTACACTAGCCCGCAAAATAAAACATTATCAAAAATAACAATTACGAAAACTGGATAAAAGGGAGTAAAAATGAAAATATGTAAGCAAGAAAAGAATTTTGAAAATTCAACCGGTAATTCAATACAGATGGAATATTTCCATTAAATATCACAAAAAAATCACTGGAGTAATAACAAACGAAAACAACTCTGAACAATATGTGGAGATATGGTGGCCGGCTCAGTCGTAATGTATTAAAACGAGAAAATGAATAGAGAATAGTACAAGTTCAAAATCTCTTCAGATAAAGCAATGAGTGCATATGTATCATCGTGTTTAACTTTAAGCAATGTCAAATAATGTATCTAAGTATAACATCTGAGACACTAACTTTAACCAGTCCTTTCTGCTTTCAAAAACACTCCATAATTTAAAACTAAATTACAAGGTAGGGAGGACTTTGTATTTTACAGAGTGGAATCCATTTGAATCTTTCAAGTTATGAGACATCAGTAAGGTCAGTAGGTCAATGTGATCAATCACAACGTCTAACTCAATTAAAGGATACTAAATTTATTCACAATGTAATTACTATGCATGAAAGTAACTTACTTACTTACAACTGTTACCCCTTGTAGAGCACAGGCTACCAACCAGCAACCTCCAACTTACTCTGTTCTGAGCTTTACTTTCCAGTCACTGTGAAGTTCTATTCATTCTTTTGATTCCTAACCCAGGCGCAATGTGTTCATTGGTCTTCCTTTTTCCCTTTAGCCTATAAGATTCCAAGTTAGAAATTGCATCGTGACGTAATTTGATTATTTCCGCAATGTGTGTACTATCCACCTCTAATGTTTGGTGGAGTTTTGTTCTCTGAGCTGGATGTTTTGGTTATGGAGGTTTCATCATCCTTCTGAACGACATTATCACCACAAACTTCAAATAGAAGTGAAGTGTTCGAAATGTCCTCTAGCGTCTTTTTCTGATTTCCTCTTTAACTGGAAATTAGTTTATTCTCTCCCACAGTAAGTTGTCGCTGGTGTCTGGCCAACAGATTTGGAGTATTTTGTGTAGACAGTTATAAATTCCTGTACATTTTGAGGATGGCTGTAGTAGTTCTCAAAATTTCAGCTCCCTACAACGCAACTGTCTTGATGTTTGCAATGAAAATTCTGACTTAGGTGTTAGCTGGGTTGTTTTGAGTTCCAGATCTAAAAATACTGCCTTTTGCCGATTTGTGCCTTCGCATTTCCCTCAGATCCTCCATGTTTATCAACGATGCTATCCGGGTACGTGAAAGTTCCTACTTCTTCTAGAAGTTAGTGTTTTTAGCAAGGTTCTTTCCTACGGGACGAAGTTGCTAATCTCATACCCAATCATCCTTCTTTACCCGGGCTTGGGACAGGCAGTAACCTTAGAGGAACTCCAGGTAGAGTAAATTAAATTCTTATTTTTAACCATTAATTCAACACCTCGTTGGGACGAACTTTTCGAGTATAGACGATAAATTAGTCCCAGCTCGTAAAAGAGGTCCTGGTCGTTTGATTGATTTCAAATGTGATTCAATCGAACTGGTCACCGACATATATATATATATATATATATATATATATATATATATATATATATATATATATATATATATATATATATATATATATATATATATATATATATAATGTGTACATAATTTCGATTACTTACTGAATACGGGTTAAAGTACGTAGTTCTGAGTTACACTAATTAAGTGATGATTAGCGATGCTACCTATCCACCAAAACCGAAATAGGTGGGAGTGCGGCTCAAACCTGCTACACACTTGCTTAAAACCTGATTCTATTAACTATTTTCGACAAGATCTGATGGGTTGTTAAAACCAAGCTATTTCGTACACTGTTGCGATTTAATAAATACCCCAAATGCCCTGGTTCAGCGGAGAGTGGGGAGAGTCCACCCTCCCTCTCGAAATGCTCTCACATGGCCATGCGTATACAGTCACTGTCACGGAAGTTCTACTCACTATCTTCTCGTGGCGAGGGTGTTGTTTACGAAAATCAGAGAACGGAAAACGAATGTCCAGCGCTTTATCCGTGTTGGTGGATATGGAGGATCCAACTAAGGGGTTGGAAATCCCTGATTTCAAATCAATGGTGCACATGGACTCCAGGGTCCTGAGAACAAATGTCGTACGAACTTATTGTTGGTCACTGGCCACTATGAGACTGCATATCCGAACATCGCATTGTAGATTAGATCTCTAGGTGAGAGGCTCCAGATGTGGTCCCCTAAGAAAACCACTTGCTTTGGTCTGGGCACCCGGGTAGTATCACAGTCCACATACAAATTAAGTGACCTGTGTGGCGCAAATGTATTCTGTGGCCTTTTGTATCAATATTCATGTGTTCAAATAAATAAATAAAATAAAAAGAAACGGTATCAAAAACACTTACTTGCAATTCCAGCAGCGCATAAATAAACAAATGAAGAACCAGGCTGGAAATATTTTTCAAAGAATAACTGTCCATTATGATATGCACAAAAGTATATACCTCTAAAAATATAACATTAATTGCATCAGTAATTTTAAAATTATGAAGACTGTAGTCATAGTTTAATTCTCGTGTCATAGCTTGTCGGAAGAATAAATACAAACCGTTAATCAATTGGAGTACATCAAAAGCTTTTATTGTTCCGTTACCTTAACATTGGTCGACTGTAATATACTAGAGCGATTATTAATATTATTATTCATAAGAGTGGATACATTTTTTTGTTTGAGGTTTGAACCTGTCACCAAAGATTGAATTGAGCCTGGCATTTGACAACCTAGGGTGACAACTAACAACCACTGAACAGAAAATCGACTTCTTCAACAACCGATCTCCTTAGTGATAACCTGTGAAGATTAACGTTGAGAGGAAGTACCTAATGGGGTCCGAATTAAACCATACATGGTGTCATATCCACTCGCAGTAAGTACTACGATACAAGCAATATGGATTCTGATAATAAGCTTCATATTCGTATTCAGTTCGAAACTCCACCGAATCCTGAAATAGTGTAGACGTACATCTTAACGATGTTAGTAAAGTTTAGTTCATAGTATGTGCAACAAATAGTCTACAAGATAAAACCTCATGTTTACATAGACACTTTTAGTGAGACTAAACAATGTAAGGCCAGACCCAAGTATAGTTTAGCATTGTGTACGAATAAATCATATTTTAGAACTACATTATCAAGGGAACATAACATTCACATCAACAGCTTCTAACTACTACCCAAGAAAACTAAAATAATTCACAAAGAACACTTAGCTCCTAACTATAAACTATTTGTATTTACATTTTTGTATCTTTTGGTAAGTATTGCTGCGAAAAGGATTACGCTAAACGAGTCTTTAAAGTAAATCTACTGATTATGAGTAAATTCTCAAAAACAAGGTCAATTTCTAAGTTAGGTAGATATAACAAACTGATAACTTTCGATAGAGCAATGAGAAAAATTTATAAAAAGGGCTAATTGCTTCAAACTGATAACTATTTAGAAATCACTGAAACAAAGCACTTACCGTGTTGGCATCACTCCAACAAGAGTAGGAACTAGACCTTTAAAGAGAGCTGTGGGTCCTTCATAACGAAAAATGTCAATTAACGAGCGAAGAATAAGAGATCGCCGAAGTCCATGAGGTTTGACGTTTGAGAAATCGGAAGATGTAGTCGGAATGTTGAGAACTGAGGGTTTTGATGAACTAATACATGAAGAAATCACTGACTTGTGACTGGGACTGGATTTTTGAACATGTTTAGGATCAACTTGTTTTAAACCATACAACATGCATCGTATGCGCGAAAAACGGTGACTGCGATTATAATCTGGGATGACGTTAGGCCTGAAGGAAGATGAAGAAAGTACAATTCCCTTTGAAGATTGTAGGCGAACTTTGACAACTTCTAACGGACAAGTTAAAACTGCTCCAACTGTTCCTCCGATGCTATAAGAAATTATAATGAGGTAAATCATTTACCACGACATTTGCAAAAAAACATATCATTAACTTTATTCATACGAACCCATTAGAAAGATGGTGTATTTATTCAGACTCACCCTCCTCCAATAACGTGCACAGCAGTCTCATCGAACATTAGCCCATCCAACGGATGGTGGAGCAACAAGTATCTGATAGTTCCAAATAGAATGTTTTAGACTTAGGGAAGATTAGCCACAAAAACGCAAGATATTTCCAGAATAGAGTTTCATAACATTACCCACAAGCCCACCAGCACGAGCGTTAATCGTGGGCACTGTTCGCAATGACCTTCAGTCGATATTATAATTTCCAATAATTGCAAGGTCAGTTTTTTAGGTAGTTTAAAGAGACTCTGGTAGCGAAACATTCTGATCATTTTGTCCCTTTCAGATCGAAGCCGAAGCTAACTACATCAGGGATCATTGGAAGTCAATCATCTCTTTAATTCTGAGTATCTCAAAGTTGGGAGTATAAGTAAATGGTTCAAATGATTCAAATGGTTGTGTACGGAATAGAAGAAGCTTTCGTTTAAAGAGCTTCCGTGTCTAGTAGCAGTGGATCACCAATACTTCCAGGCAGGAACCTAGGTATATTAACGATAATAGAGGGAAAAAGAATTTGGTAACTCATAATAAGATGTTATTCTTAGTCCTTAGGAATAGGCCAAGTTTCCTCTTAAAGGACTATTGGGAAGTCGCTTGAACTAGCTCAGTCGGGAACGAATTCCAGCATTTGACAACTCTAAAGGAGTGTAAGTTGTGTCTACAGTCAGTTCTGCTGTGTTGTGTCTCCAGTTTCTGAGTGTTACCCCTTAGGTTTGTATTAGGACTAAGCTTAAGTAAGTGTTTAAGATGTCCTGAAGTGTTAAGGATACTGCAAGCCATTAGAAAATCACCTCTAAGACGCCTTTGCTCTAATGAGTAAAGGTTGAGTGATTGGAGGCGCTCTTCATAAGGTTTGAATTTAAGTCCCCGAACTGATTTCGTCGCAGATGGACTGCTTTACACTTTGAAGTATTGAAGTTAAGTCCGTTATCGACTGCCCAATTTTGAATTCGAGTCCGATCCTCTTGAAGTTCCTGTATATCGTTTTGGTTGCGAAACTCTCCAAAGTTTCACGTCATCAGCAAAATGTAATAAGTCTGACGATAACTGTTGTGGAAGATCGTTTATATAAATCAAGAAGAGAGGAGCTCCTAGTATTGAGCCCTGGCGGAACCCACCAGGACACTTAATAGCTTGGAAGAAAGTGAAGTTAACCCTGACCTTAAAATATCGGTTTTTTCAGGTATGAAGTGAGCCAACCGATTAGAGGTTGTCTGATACCCAGTCGTTTGAGCTTATTGATAAGACATATGTGGTTAACTCTATCAAAAGCTTTTGAGAAGTCAAGGTAAATGACGTCAAACAAGCATCCTTGCGACCAATGATGCTTGTCCATCTGTCCACCGCAGTCAGCAGGTTGGTCATACAAGAGTGAACCTTCCTGAAACTATGCTGTTGGGGTGAGAAGTTTAAGGATAATAAATAATCGTGTTTACCATCGCATATCAGGGACTCCATAATTTTTGAAGGTATAGAGAGAAGAGCTAGCAGTTGGTCACTTGAAGGTTCATTGCGTCAAACGTTTTTGAAAATTGGTGTGATGTGAGCCAGCTCCCAAATTTCTGAAAGTTCGCCTCGGCTTAGCGAATGTGAGAATACCACAATAATCGGTGTTGCCAGAATAGAAGCTGCTTCCCTCAGTATGGCAGAATGAACCATATCCGGCCAGGAGAAGTGTCTTTCCTTAGATGCAGCAGTTTTCGGAACACCAAGTCAGCACTCAGGTTCATTTCGGAAAGTCCTGTGCAGTTGCAGATGAAGCTATCATCAGTATAGCTGATGTGGGTAGGTTGAAATGTCCGAGAGTATTGTTCAGCCAAAAGATTAGCGACATCACCGTCGATATTGGTCGTGCCATTAGGACCTAGCAGTTGGGAAACTCCAGTTTTGACTTGTCGAAGAAAGTCTGCATAACGGAATAATGTGTTCGGATTGGAGACAAATTTATCCATAAGCTTTATCTGATAATGAAGCCCGTTTTCTCTCAGTGCTTTCGTGCATATGTTCCTTATACGTTTGTATTGCCTGTACGCGCCGTTGTTGTCAGCTTTTTGTATTCTACCCAACAGTGCCTTCTGCGGCTTAGCAGGCGAAGAGTGCGGTTCTTCATGAATGCGGGTTGCTGACAGCTATGGGGGACCGTTTGAGGAACTGACTGCTTTGTAGCCCATAAGAGCGTGTGCAATAAGAAATCCCAATGAGCATCGACATCAAGTAGAACGACCAACATAGTAATTCTCATCAATTAGGAAAGACAGTTTGAACATGACATCAAAAATTATCTGAAAGGCCCGTTTCCAACAACCAAGAGAGGAACTAGACGATGAGAGGGACATAGCTGTGAATGCCTGAAAACTCATATACATTCTTTGATCAAGATTGGTCCAGAACTGAAGGCATATCAAAATGACTCAATAAAGTCTCTTCTGAGGATATTGATGTTGAAGTACCACACAAACATACATCTGACATGCCAAAAAATGGAACCAGTCCTTATCTAGAAGGCAGCAGTCTTCCGTTGGTTTGACAGTCTAAAATCTCCCAAGTCTCCGAGTTCTGAGAACTACACCTACAGCTACTACCACCCCATGTGGACATTATTTCTGCACAGGCGAGGGATTTCCCCAGTATCTCACATTCCGAGACTCATACTTCAGTGGATTGGGAAGGTACTATATTTAGCCTTATGTGTTACAGGATAAATATAACATTAAATTACGACCGTTTTGTTATGATAGTTCTGAATTTATACGCAATGCGGTCATGCTTTAAGTATCTAACTTCCTCAGAGCCTCCAAAATCTCACCCCTAGAATAAGCCCTTGAACGTTCGTATGCTGCATCATGAATAGTACTTGTGTTTCTCGTGCTGTATACTTAATAGACTACCTGAGGTCGCTTCTTTAATAAATAATTCATTCCTTAAAACTATGAAAGGGGATGTAAGGGACAACCTTTCCAGGTATTGTTGGCAAGTGATTTCAGTGTTATTGGGCTCACCTTTTTAGATACTAATGTCAAAATAATTACTGATAGTATGAATTTAATATAAAAGTTCAGATTGTCAATAAATGTAGCTCAAAAGACATGTCCTCTGATAGGATCGTGAAATTGACTGCGGCACTGTGAGATCAGACATTGAAGGGTTTTCTTGGTTGAGCGACTACAACTCCGTTGACTTGTAAGAATATGTGTCTAGTTAAACTGATGTGATCAGTATCAGTCCTTAGAACACAACTATACGGTGTTTACTGACCTCTCGGACGTCCCAGGGTACTCGATACGTTAACCGTCGAAGTTTGCATCAGAAACAGAATTCTATGGGTATAAAAAAGTGTCTCGTCATGTGTCTGTCAGATAATCCAATCAGGCGTCAATAAGCTGTCAGAGTCACCAGTACTCTGTCATATTGGTTTCTCGTGATAAGTGAAGTACCACAAGGTTAAAAACCTTAGGCAACTATCCTTATTGTTCATTAACAGCCAATCAAACAATAAAGAGCAAATGCGAAAGAAATACTTGACTTTGGCGATATCACTTCCTTCAAGTAGACTTATATAGGATCCAAGACTGAAATACCAAGAGCCTCATCATTCTCAATATCAGTAAACACAGAATACAAATACTAGGAACTGGCGATGTAGTAGTCACCACTAGCTTCCTCGGGAATTTCATGCCCTTCATTGTACAAAGTAATTTGAGAACCATGCTTCATGATACTCTAGGTATCTCTTCAAACTGACATTAAGCGGTTGGTAAAACAAAACCACGTTTGGGGATTCTTCCCAGAATAGCTAGTATCCTAAATCTTTTTCCGGAGTTTGACTAAAAGTTCATCTGCGAAAAATCCACCGCGTTATTTCTTCTTACCTTGAGGAAAATATCACTCTTCTGGAGCGCGCAAAAATATTATAGATCACCAGCGTAGATGATCTATGTCGAATGATCGGAGACCTACTCGAGTAAGACGGGAACGGTGTGACGAACCAGCTAACGTTGAAGACACACCTCGTGGCCAGCACCTTACATGGACTACCCTCTCGATGTATCAAGGTACCATAGATGCCTTGAAGACGGTACAACACAGAGGACGTTATTACATAAATAAATTAGTTAAAGTAGATACAAGCGAGAGTAAGACCACTGCTTCATGGGCCATTCCATGGTGTACGATTAACTTATGCGCGCTGGTTGCCCTTGACCTTGATAAGTATCGATGATTTGTTCGATATTCAATTACCCTACCGACGGATGATTTGGCCAGGGCTTGGTGGAATTTCACTGACCCTACAATACCACTGAATAATAGTCGGCGTATCCAGACGAATAAAATTTATATTGACCAATTTTCGTGAGTAATGAGCAGTATGTCGTGAACAAAAGTGATTTTTATAGGATGCATAACCGATCCCCTTCAACCGACAGTTTGTCCAGCAAAAGTAATAAAGCCAGAGTCAGTGTTAAAGATGAACAACACTATATATTTCAAGGGTTTATTAATTACGCAAACCCTACACAGCTTTCTCAGGAGCTCTCAACTAACAGTCGGTACATCATGGAAGGACTGGTGAGAAATATGATCACGATGCACCACATTTCACTATGACCGAATACATCAGAGGCAATTTTCAGTGACCGATCACATGTAGGAAAACAACTATTAAAAATAGAACTTAAGAGAGCTGTTGTTTGCTTCTTGTTGTTCCATGAATGCTGTCAGGAGCCGTAGCATCAAAGAACTGTTCTGAATAGTTCACTAACAGGAGCAGCTAAAACGAATCTGTGTGCAGTCGTCTCGGGTAACGTCGAGTTCGGTGGGTTCATGTGTACCTAAAGAAGAGGGGCCGACTTCACAGAGGTCTGTTTTCAGCAAGATAAATAAATAAAGTCATGACCTAACCACCCGATTCATCGACAATCATCCAAGATCTTACAATGTACGTATTGCAACAGTGGTTGTTACCCCCAAGGTGAACGTAAAAAGGCGATACGAATTAAGAGTAATCAGAGTTCTCATGTCAGAAAAGAAAAGCCTGTTTCATTGACCGTAGTTGGGAAATCAAAGGCTGATCATAGTGACAAACCAGTTCTTAATATCAATGGAAATATTCAAACAAACGATACAAACTGAATTTAAATCACTGATTCTTCTTCGAATGAAGTATGGTGAGAGCTTTGAGCCCTGAATCCTTCTAAGCATGATATTGGGCTGACAA